ATCAGCATGAAATTTCATTTGCCATTTTGAAAGTGCAGATTTTACTGTATATAGTTGGGATTATTTTTTCCAATGTGCATTACTTTACATTTATCAGCATGAAATTTCATTTGCCATTTTGAAACCCAATCACTTAGTTTGGTGAGATCTTTTTGAAGCTCTTCACAGTAGAGATGTATGTAATATTATAGCTGATTAACCGATAAGCAAAAGCTTATAGGTTAATGCTATAGACTACACGCATTCTCCTCCAGCCCTTGCCAGTAAATTTTTTAGCAGGCTGGCCAGCAGCCCAGCTCAATCTTGGCTTGCACTGGGTCTGGAACCTAACCCTGCTGCAGCTCTGAATTTAATGTATGTTAGGATCTGGGAGGGGAGGCAGTCTGGCTTGTGCCGGGTCTGGGAGCTCAGACCCACCCTCTGGACAGGAGCTGCTGGCACCCCACGCTGGCTCCCCTCGTGGACCAGCTGCTGCTTGGCACCCCATGCTGCTGTCTCTGATACAGAAGCAGCAGCGTGGGGTGGCAAGGGGCTCCCTGGGAGAGGGGCATTAGCTGCCAGCCCCACCCCCGGGGACTATAGACTAGTTGACTAACTGATAAGAATTCATGAGGTTAATCGACTATTCAATTAACCGATATTTAACATCCCTACTTCACAGTCTGCTTTGGTCTTAACTATCTTGAGCAGTTTGGTGTCATCTGCAAAATTTACCACTTCACTGTTTACCCCTTTCTTTAGATGATTTATAAATAAGTTGAGAAGTATTGGTCCCAGGACAGACCCGTGGGGGATACACCTAGTTACCTCTCTCCACTCTGAAAATTTACAATTTATTCCTACTCTTTGTTTTCTGTCTTTTAACCAGTTATCAATCTATGAAAGGACCTTCTTTCTTATCCCATGATAACTTACTTTACTTAGGAGTCTTTGGTGAGGGACCTCGTCAAAGGCTTTCTAGAAATCTAAGTATACTATATCGATTGGATCCCCCTTGTCCACATGTTTGTTTACCCCCTCAAAGAACTCTAGCGGTTTAGTAAGGCATGATTTCCCTTTACAAAATCCATGTTGACTTTCCTCCAACAAATTATGTTCATTTGTGTGTCTGAAAATTTTATTCTTTACTGTAGTTTCAACTAATTTGTCCGGTACTGATGTTAGACTTACCAATCTGCAATTGCCAAGATGACCTCTAGAGCCATTTTTAAATATTGTTGTCATGTTAGCTATCTTCCAGTCGTTAGGTACAGAAGCCAATTTAAAGGATAGGTTACAAATCAATTGTTAGTTCCACAATTTCACATTGAGTTATTTCAGAACTCTTGGGTGAATGCCATCTGGTCCCGTGACTTGTTACTGTTAAGTTTATCAGTTTGTTCCAAAATCTCCTCTAAATGATACCTTAATCTGGGACAATTCTTCAGACTTGTCACCTAAAAAGAATGGGGAGATACCTAAACCTGAGCCAATGTCCTCAGCTGTGAAGACTGAAGTAAAGAATTAATTTAGCTTCTCCGAAATGACTTGATCATCTTTGAGTGCTCTGTTAGCATTTCTATCGTCCAAGGGCCCCACTGGTTGCTTAGTAGGCTTCCTGCTTCTGATGTGCTTAAAAAACATTTTGCTATTACTTTTTGAGTTTTTGGCTAGCTGTTCTTCAAACTCCTTTTCGGCTTTTCTTATGATATTTTAACCTTTTTTTTAATATTTTTATTTTTGAAAAAATTTTAATTTGACAAAGTTTATGCTCCTTTCTATTTTCCTCACTAGGATTTGACTTCCACTTTTTAAAAGATGTCTTTTTATCTGTGTCTGCTTCTTTTAATTGGTTGGTAAGCCACGGTGGCCCTTTTTATGGTTCTCTTACTTTGTTTTTTAATTTGGGTTATACATTAAAGTTGGGCCTTATGGTGTCTTTGAAAAGTTTCCATGCAGCTTACAGATATTTTACTTTTATCACTGTACCTTTTAATTTCTGGTTAACTATCTTCCTAATTTTTGTGTAGTTCCCCTCTCTGAAATTAAATGCTACAATGTTGGGCTGCTCAGGTGTTTTTCCCACAACAGGGATGTTAAATTTTATTACATTATGGTCACTATTTCGAAGCAGTCCAGTTATATTTACCTCTTTAACCAGATCCTGCACTCCACTTAGTACTAAATCAGGAATAGCCTCTCCCCTTGTGGGTTCCAGAACCAGCTGCTCCAAGAAGCTGTCATTTAAGGTATCAGGAAATTTTATCTCTGCATCCTGTCCTGAGGTGACCTGTACCCAGTCAATATGGGGATAGTTGAAATCTCTGATCTTCCTTAGCATTTCATAGTCACTATCACTGTCCTGATCAGGTAGTTGAGAATATATCCCTACTACTGTAGACTTATTAGTGGAGCATTGAATTACTATCCATAGAGAGTCTATGGAATATTTTGTCTCATTTAAGATTTTTACTTCATTTGATTCTACATTTTTCTAGTGCCACTCCCCCACCAGTATGACCTGCTCTGACCTTCCAGTATATTTTGTACCCTGGTATGACTGTGTCTCATTGATTGTCCTCATTCCACCAAGTTTCCGTGTTTCCTATTATATCAATATCTGCCTTTAAAACTAGGCACTCTAGTTCACCCATTTTACTATTCAGACTTCTAACATTTGCGCATAAACACTTCAATAATTTGTCACTATTTATTTGTCTGTCATTTCCTTATGTGTTACAATCAAATGAAAAACAGAGTCTGTCTCATCTGATCCAACCCATACTTCCCTCCTCTTCTCCTGACTAGAACATCGAACATCTCTATTAATAGACCCTCCCCTAAGAGATGTCTTTGTCCGCACCAGCTGGCTTTCCCCCAGCCCTTAACATTAGAAAGGTTGTAGAGCTGTTTTTAAACTGTCAGCAGTCTGGTTCCATTTTGGGTTAGGTGGAACCCATTCTTCACTGCTTGGCTGTGTACCTCTGGCTGCCAGGTTGCGGCGGCTCTGAGGGCTGGAGCTGGAGTACACCATTCTCACCAGGTCTGTTGGGAGAGGTGTGTCCTGTCCCACCTCTCAGGCAACCAGCTCCAGTCAATGGCTGGTTGGGTGCAGGGGACTCTGGGGTCAGTGGCTGGTGCTGCAGGGTAGTGGAGGGATGGAGGCTCTAAGGGTTAGGGCTGGCACGGGGAAGGGGTTGGATACAGGCCTCTTGGGGTCAATGGCTGGTGCTGGGAGATAGTAGAGAAGAGGAGGTTCTAGGAGTTAGGGCTGCCATTGTGAGCTGTGCTTTTGGTGGATCAGCAATGTTTTATTTGAATATTTGCATATTCATCATTTGCATAATAAATATGCAAATAAAATCTTTCTGGTCCACCTAACGTTGGCGAATGGATCTGCTGGTCCCCAGTATCAAAAAGGTTGGGAACCACTGGTCTACCTCACACCCCCAGCATGCTTCTTAGGGTCTTCTGCTATGGTATTTAAGCACTGTATAACAATTAAACTGTGCCTCTATTCTTCACCCACTCTCCCCAAGTTGGCTACGCTCTGTGCTCTGCTGCTTGGCCATCGTTTGGATTTCCAGTTTGTATGCTGATGTGTTCTGTGACTGTGGAAACATGAACAACAGTTCATGTCATAGTGGTCGCGTGGCAAGTGGATTGCATGGTTATGGGTATCTAGATAGGATGAGTAGTAGTTTGGAAAAGAGCAACATAACTTAATTTGAATTAGGGATTTTACAGTGTGTTTATTTTGGTAAATATGTAACTGGTGAAATTTTCAGTGGTTACATATTCACATTTGGGAGGGAAGTGGCTTCATGGGAGCCAGTATACGCAGGAAGCCAGTTTAAAAGGCAGCTCCCTACGGGCACTGGATCCCACCTCTCTCCTTCCTTCACCCCCCTGCTGCTGCCTCTGATACAGAGATTACAGCGCGGGGGAGGGAGGAGGAAGAGGCAGGTGGGAATGAGTGCTCATGGGTTATCCAGGCTCATTGGTTAACTGTTTACACTGTCATGTCCCTAATTTGAATAAATGGTATAAGTGTGTGAGCGGAAGAAGAAAAATATAAAATCAAATAGACACTCAGTATCATTAAACAGTTTTGTTGCCATATTTCATATTTAGCTACTGCACTCTGTAACTGCATTAACTACATTTTATAATTACTGTAATACAATTGTTATTGGTTTTGCGTTTTTGTGTCATGTTTGTACAGATCCACTCACTGACACATCACTGCTAGTATGTATTTTCTGTCTCATAAATGCTCTCAGTCAATTTATTCATTCCAGAATATACTATGCATATATAAGGACTGTCTTTTAATACTCTGGTATGGACTTACTTTTCCAAACTAAAATTATAGGTCCCAGCCTCTGGTAATTACAAAGAGATTCTCTAGATTATCAGAAATCTGTCTCCCATGACGTTTGGTCAACTTTGTACTCTGTGTGTTAGAAGTATTTGAGCAGATGTTTATTTGCACTATGTATAAAAGATTAAATGCCTTTATGCTCATGTTGAGCTTGGAGACATCTGGTAATTATTAAATCATACTTTTTAGGGAAGTGTTTTGGTGCTACACATTTGAGTGGTTTTGGTTTTTACATGTTTGGGATTTATTTTTTGTATATGTTGTCCCTTAGAATGTTTGAAAACATTTGTCCAGCGTATAGGACATTGGTGTCTCGATTTCACTCAGGATGTAATTATATGCATAAGATCGGGGTGGGCAAATTACAGGCCATGGGCTGGATTCAGCCTCCAAAGCATTTGGATCCGGCCTACCATAGGCCAGAGGGATCCTTTAGCAAGCTCCTTGACTGCTGTGGTCCCACATGCCATTCAAAGCGGACGGCTGCTGAGGTCACAGTGCATGTCTTTGTGTGGCGCAGACCCTCTGTGCACTGCCCTGCCCCCAGCACAGTCCTCACAGCTCCCATCACCTGGAAACCAGCCAGTGGGAGCTATAGGATCAGTGTTTGTGGGTATGTGCAGCACGTGGAGATCTGCTTCTCCCCTCCTCCCATGGGACACACCATGTAGAGATGCATGCTGGCCCTAGCAATTGGTCACTTTGAGATGCATGTGGGGTCGTGGCAGCCGGGGGGGCCGTGGCAGCCGGGGAGCCCACCTGAGGGTGTCGCTGAGCCTGTTTATCCGTATGTTTGGAGAAGCTGATGGTGAGGGGGAAAAATAGGCTTGAATTCTCTATCTCTTTTGTTTTTCTGTATTGTATGGTTTGCTTAGTTTTAATATTAAGGATTATGGAGTATATAATCCGAGTATAAAGGTACATATGTGTATATGTTATAGTGCTTTTCAGAAAGATAAATAATACTCTACAAATACTCTGAAGAGTTGGTAGTTCAATGACAAAAATAACTGTATGGATTTTCTTCTTTAAGCTTGAAGGGTGTCAAGTAACCATTTTGGAAAAATGACTTTAAAGAGATGAGGGAGGATGTTTTGGCCTGAGTTAATTAGGAGACTTCTAAAGAAGCAATGAAGTTGGAGATGGGAGAAGTCAAAAGGACAGGAAGGAGAGAAGCTTGGGAAGACCCTAGGATGTATGAAGAGTTAACCAGAGCAGTTGTTCAGTGTGTTGAAACTAGGGAGAATCTGAAGGTCTTATACAGAAGAAGAGCTAAAGATTCAACAAAGTAGGAAATGATGGTGTGGGGCAGCAGGGAGCAGAGTGATACACAGACTCCATAATTTCTTGTTTTGTGTAAGAGATAATGGTGCACCTATTTGTCATGTTTGTTGCAATTTCAATATAGTGGTAATGTGCATATCTTCAAATTGTACAGAGTGCATCTAATTACAGTTGAATTAAGTGATGGAGATATTTTTATAATCTTTATAGTCCTTACAATCCTTTGTATTAGTTCCAAATGTAAAAGAGAGATACTGGCAGACTAGCATTCATTTATATCAGTTACCTTGTGGCATGTAACACTGGCATACAAATAACTGTGCATTTGTGAGTTTGATTGGGCTTTGTATTAAGTTTATACAGTAATTCCTCATTTAACAAGGTAGATGCGTTTCAGAAAATGATCATGCTAAGCGAAAACGTGCTACGTAGGGTCAATTTTCCCATTGAAAATAATGGAAAAGGTGGGGGTTGCGTTTCAGGTGGTGGTGTCGAAGTTAGTTTTCTGTTGGTACTGAGTTGCCAACGTCAACATTAGACAATGTAGACTGAACAGGGCTGTCTTGTTCATCAGCTAATGTTTTAGGTTGAACACGAAAACATTTTTTGATCGAGAGCTGCTTTGCTGCTTTTTTTTCATTGTAAAGCTTCTGGTAGCAAGATATGGAGTTTTCTTTGCTATCAGGATCATTCTCATAAAAAATGTTTATTGCATCACTTATAAGCTTAAATGCTTCAGCCATAACTTACATTGATAATGTTTGAATAACTGGTTCAGCATGTTCAGGCTCATTTTCCTGCTGCTGCTCATCCAGCAGCTTCAACTCGTCAATAGACAACTCCTCCCCATGAGAATAGAGCAACTCTTGCACATCAGTAGCATCCACCTCCTCTAATCCTGCTTCATGGGCTAGGGCTACAATCTGCTTTTTAGCTTCAGCTATTTCAGTGTCAAACTCCCTGAACTCGTGAATACATGCAGGCCATATACGGCGCCAAACTGCGTTAAGGCAACTCGACGAAACTTCCTCCCAAGCCTCTGCTATAATATCTATAGCATCTTTAACATTAAATTTTCTCCAGAACTCCTTGATTGTAGGCTTATTCTCTCCATCTATCTCCATTATAAGCCTAGTAAACGTACGGAGCAAGTAATACGCCTTGAAAGCAGCTATTGCTCCTTGATCAAGAGGTTGAAATAATGCGGTTATATTGGGAGGTATAAATAACACTCGAATGTTTTCTGACAGATCAGTAAGGCAAAGGAGGATACCCTGGTGCATTATCTAGAAGAAGTAAAATTTTGAAAGCAAGATTTTCTTGCAAACAGTATTCTTTCAACTCTGTAGTTAGGCGATTGCAGAAGTAGTCTGTGAAGATGCTTGCAGTTACCCATGCTTTCGCACTAGATCTCCAAACAGGAAGATGATCCTTTGAATACCTAGCTATAGCTCTAAGGTTGGCTGAACAGTAAACTACTACCGGTTTGAGCTTGCAATTTCCCGTTGGCATTGGTGCACAGCATCACCGTCATACGATCCTTTGCAGCCTTAAAACCACGTGCATAAGCCTCAACACGAGAGATATATGTGTGTGCTGGCATGCGCTTCCAGTAGAATCCTGTTTCGTCCAGGTTAAACACCTGTTTAGACAAATAGCCACCTTCCTTTATAATAGTTTCAAATATCACTGGGAATGATTCAGCAGCCTCAGTGTCAGCAGCAACAGCTTCTCCAGTTATTTTTATATTTTGTAAGTTTGAACGCTTTTTAAAGCGTTCGAACCAACCACGATTTGCATTAAATGGCTTGGCATCGGTTTCATTCAGTTCTCTTTTAACAGCATCATATGAAGCTTTGGCTTTTTCCTGAGTAACAGCCAAATTCACTGGCATCTTTTGTTGTGTTTGGTTTTCAATACACATAGACAATCGCCTCTCCATATTTTCCATTAGGTAACCTTCTTCACACTTACTGATGTTGCATTTTTGCAACTTTCCTTAATTTTATCAGCTTGGGCATGGATTGTTTGCACACTAGACTCATGCATATTCAAAGCGTGGGAGATATTGTGTTACCTTTTTCAATTCGTTTAATCACTTCAAGTTTCTCTTCTAATGGAAACGATTTTCTATGCTTCTTGCTTGCAGAAGCAGATGTATCACCTTCCTTACACTTTTCTCTCCTAAGGGATATAGTAATACACAGCAAGTATCTAGCAACACAAGTCGCCGCAGTTTAACACAAGATAAACATGTGAGTGAGCGGAGGAGCTCTGTGACCGTGCGTACAATATTACTGCTGTTTTCACAACTTCTACCGCCGCACGAAGTAGTCCGTGGTTGACTTTTTTTTGTGTTATTTCGGGGACGGTTGTGTTGTTCAAAAAACGTTCCCCCCCGAAAAAAAAAATTGTTCTATTATGAAAACATGTTAAGCGGGCATGAGTTAAACGAGTAATTACTGTAAAGGCTTTTTTTTCAACTGTACATTAGGTAGAAAAGGAAATGGTATTTTTTTTCTTTTGTTGGCGGAAATCTGCAGGGAATTTGTGAAATGAGTTTGACTCTGCATTTCTAAAAGGAATCCAGCCTTTTCTCTGAGAACATAGAAAAGATTGCTTTTCTTAAAAGTACATATAAAGGGAGATGGTCAATTTGAAATTTCAGGGATAAAAAAATTGATACAGGTTGGACCTCCCTGTTCTGGCACCCTCGGGACCTAACTGGTCCCAGAGAGGTATTTTTTCAGGGGAGATCATTTCTGGGCCCCCCCTGCTGCTGACCCTCCTTGCCTTGTCGTCCCCATCCTGGCTTCCTGGCTCTCCCCCACTCCCACCCAAATTATTTCTGCCCCTGTTACTGGTCTTCTGGGTGACTTCAGGCAAGTTGCTTCAGCACTGTGTATCTCTGCTTCCACAGCTGTGCAATGGGAATAACTGCCTCCTGTGTGCTTTGCTTTGAGATCTCTGGGTGAGTTATGATAAAAAGCTTGTTAATTATCAGATTTTGAAGAGTAGATCCCCCCCCCTCCCTTCCTGGCAGAGCACCAGGCTCTCTTCCCTCCCCCTGCCCCACAGTGTTCTACGATTCTCTGATCCTTTAACATCCATGGTGCATCCAGATCATAGATGTTGCCAGACCCCAGAGTTCCAGTTTATGGAGGTGCAACCTGTACAAAACTTTTCCTTGTGTCTTCCTGCCAGTTTCTTGTGTTACGTTTCTCTCCCCTTTTGCTAAGATAAACAAGATAAAAAATAGAGAAATATTTTCTCTAATCTTTCAACTGTAGTAATCTTAGGCAAGGCTCCCTCTAAGGTGCATGGTAGCACAGCCCAGCAGCAGTTTGATGGGTCTCAGGACAGGGGGTGGAATGGAGAGGAGCACTTCTCCCTTAGCGACAGCAGCAGCTCCCCCGGCCAAGGACAAGAATAGTGAGTCTCTCCCATCCGGTAGGGAGGGGACTGCACTGCTGCACAGCTTAGAGGAAACCTTGGTCTTAGGTGATGTTTTAGGTGATGTTTGTAACAGTACCAGATTTTGGGTTTTTTCCCCTCCCCTACAAGGCTGATTTTTAGGTGGCTGGTATAGTTTAATAGTCTTCCAGCATTTCTTAGTTCTGGAAATTTAGAAGATTTTGGAAATCAGTGTGACAGCCACAACTTAATATTTTTCATAATTTTGTTGACTGTGTAATTTATAAGTTTGTCAACAGTCTGTCCTACAAGACAAGTAAAATAAGTTTCTGTAATGCTGTCTGTGACAGTACAGACCTTGAGCCCCTTCTCCTTACTTGATCTGACGGGCAATAATGATCAGGTACCATGCAAGATTTTTCCATGTTCTCTTCCATTCCCATTTGATTCTTGTCTCGTGGAGAGCCTTGTGAAAAGTTGACTTCCACAGCAATATCTCACATTATGTTGTTTCTTCATAAAAATATTTTCTTTGACAACATAAAAGAGCCCAAGAAAGCTAAATTAAGAGGTGGTCAGGGACCTTCAGTTGTGCAGTATAGCTTTATTTGTCTGTTAGTTTGTTTTTTTTCCTCTACAAAACTTGTTACCCTAGTAGAGTGAGCAGTGGGACCAACAGACTTACTGGGCCTTTGGGCAAGTTTGACAGGGCTGGGGAAAGCTAGTCCACAGTGCTACCCAGGGCATGCCATGCTGGCCTCTATGCCTCCCAGCCAGCCCTGAGAGCCGCTTGGAGAACCCCGTGTGTCGCTCCAGTGGCAAATTAAAGGGCCCAGGGCTCCATCTGCCAAAACAGCCCTGGGCCCTTTTGAATCACCAGGGCTGGGGCAACTGATACCTGGCCCCTTCTCCTTTCCTCCCCTCCCTATTTAGTGGGCCTGAGAGTGAGACAGCTGTCCTGCTCAACTTGCATGCAGGAAAGAGGAAGTCACTTGCAGGATTTTAGGCCCTCAAAGATGGGTATTCTACATGACTTCTGGGAGATGGGTTTCACTGACGGGCTCTCGTCTCTGTAGCCATTAAATTGCTAGAATGAATTAACGAGTCTTTCCTGGAAAGATTTAGCTGCCAGGAGACATTTGCTTCCCTTCAGAAAATTACCTGAAAGCCTTCCTGTGGCATGGAATTATTTATTGAGGCAATTATTAAGTTAAAAGCCCAGAAATAAAGTTGGATGAGGCAGGGCCAGAAATGAGGAGCCAAGAAAACACCACCTAGTCTACCCTTCTGTCCTTAGAATCATGGAAACTGTGCCTGCCCTGAGACAAAGCTAGGCATTTTTAGTGCTCCCCAGTGGTGATACAAACTCTCTCTGGATTTATGTGGATTCCTCAGTTCAGAATTAGAGTGAAAAAACTCAAGTTTCCTAGTTTCTAGTTTTAGGCCCATTGTGGCTGACAGGTTGAACACTAGCCTCATGTGGCTATTTGAACGGTTGTATGGCTAGTTGGCTCACAAAATTATTTTCATTTTCAGAATAATGTGGCTAGTTCACTATAGCGAAATGGTTGTATGCCATGGTTTTAGAGCCTTTATTTATCTGCTGCCCATGTCTGAATGTGATCGGCTGTTGGGGGAGATATTGATTTTGTTTCATCTGCTTCTTGTTTTTTCTCAGCCTTTGTTATTCCTCTCTGATGCAAGGAATAAACCTGTAGTCTGACCTAACTAGAGAGAGTAAGAGGAAAGAGAAAGAAGGCTGAGCTGTTGGGCTCCTGCTTGGCTAGCATGGGAATAGTAAACTTCTGTGGCTGGAAAGAGGCCATTAAAGAAACTGGTCCAGGCAGAGCTGAGGCTAGAGAGCTAAAAGTTGGGGAGACTTATTACTTTTACCCATTCTTGAACCAATTGAGGCTCCACTGCAGTGTAATGGCAGTTTTAACCTACAGGTTTCGAACTGCTCAGAACTACATTTATAAACAGGCATGGTGCAAGTAGAAGACACAGCAGCATATTCCTGAATATACTGTGGCTGAATTGCTGAGACAAAAGGATGTATTGATATGACAAGCCAGTATACCAATGTCCTGGGAAATAGTAGCTTTTGGAACTCGTTTGCAACCCCAAGAACTAAGGCTATGTCTAGATTACTTTTTATTTTCGAAAGAGGATATGAAAATTCCGTGGGAACTTGCATATCTTCTTCTGATCTCACTTTCGAAAGTGAAAGTAGTCCGGATCCAGTTTTTTCAGAAAGAAACCCCCTTTTTTGAAAAACTGCTTTTCCTTAAAAAAGGTTTATGTAGTTTTTTCAAAAAAGATTTTTCTCCTGAGGGGGAAAAATACCGCGTCTGGACTACTTTCATTTTCGAAAGATCTTCTTTCGAAAGTGAGATTGGAAGAAGATATGCAGATTCCCACAATTTGCATATCCTCTTTCGAAAAAAACCTGTAGTTTAGACGTGCCCTAAGAGTGCACAGTTTTATTGAAAGCTGATACATTTCTGTGCATGTATTGTTCGAAACGCAAACAGAGAAAGTGAAATGCTCATTTCTTTATTAATTCAGATATTTGGTGATCTAGTGCATGTTTGAATATTTTAATGTTTGACGAAACAGTAAAAAATGCATCTGTGTAAAATGCAAATTTATAAGAAATTCCTCAGTTAATTAAAGGCAGGGTGATATCAGACATTGGCATTTAATAGAAATCTTGCAGTGTTAAATCTTAGCAGTTCTATGTTAAACTTTCACATATCTATGTATGAACAACAAGTTTATTCTAGTCCATTTATTTATTTATTTTATTTTAATCAGAGAAAGCAACCAGTGAGATGAATACTGCAGAGGATTGGGGCCTCATCTTAGATATTTGTGATAAAGTTGGGCAGTCGCGCACAGGGTAAGTGTTAATAACTGTGAAGTTTTGCTTTTAAACTTATGAATCTTTCTTTTCTATCCTTGCAGGTCACTCTTAACTATATTAAGATGGTGGGGAGGTATGATGAACATTTTGAATGCTTGTCCTTAGTACCTTAATAAACTTAGGTTAGACTGAGCATACTTGTTAGAGGAAATAAAGGAGAGAGGTTTTTTTTTTTTTTTTTGCACAATGTTTAAAAACCTTCCTTCAGAAATATGGGATCTTGATTTTAGTACTTAATTTAACTGCTGTATTCATAAATGCAAGTGTGCGAGAACAAGAGATTTGTTGTGTGCTTTAGACACTATCATTACAAATCTTGTTTGAAAGTATGTCATTGTAAGTATGTTTTGTATGTTTTTTACGTTGACAGAGAAGAGTTTGTTAAAGCATTGATAAATGGGTCATCCTGAATAGGGGAATTAATAATTAAATTATACCCCTCTTAGTGTAGGCTGTTGAATTTACTTTCAAAATACACAGTA